GCTGTTTCATGCCATCTGCAAGAACAGCACATTTCCAAATATGTTAAATATTTATTTTACTTGTAGGTCTCATGCTCATACTATAAATGGTGTGTTGCCTGTACCCCAGTGCAGTGAGTCTAAGAGAAAATGGTAGTCTTATTATTTTTCTTCTCTAAAATGCACCCCTGGACTCCCTTTCTCTGCAATTTTCCTCTTATAAATTTCATTAAATATGATTTTATTTTATTTCTTTACTTAAAAAAAATATTTTTATTTGGGGTCTCCCTGGTGGCGCAAAGGTTAAAGTGCAGCATTGTGGGGCTCTCCGAAGCCACTGCAGCATGAGTTCGATCCCGCCCCGGAGCTGACCCACATGGCGTGGCAGACCTCTCCTGACCCGCCGCTGCTCCCCTCAGCGGTGTACTTCGTCAGTCCACCTGTTCTGCTCCCCACTCTGTCTCTGGTGAATCCTCTCACCCACCACATCTCTGGCTTGTACCCCAGTTCTGGAAACATAAATGAATAAATCTTTAAATTTATCTATTTATTTATTTATGCACACAGGTCAGCTTCCTGGGTATGGGATGAAACGCATGTGGCAGTGGCTGCCGGTAGCTTGATAGCCCTGAGACTTTAACTCCTGTGCCACCAGGGAGGCCCTCATTAAATCTATTTTAAAGGAAACTTTTTATCACTCCTTGTGCTCATGTCCCAGTTGGCCTCTTAGTCCCTCTGGCATTGAGGTCTGAGAATATCTACCACCAGAAAGGGGCTCTTTGCTCAGGGTCTCCATTCTGGGTTCTGCAATGCTAGAACCATGGGGTTCCACAAAAACTTCCTCCTGAATTTTCTCTCTGCCCATCTCAGCTTCTCACCTGCTCCCCACCCTGCTCATCTTGCTGTTGGCAAACACATGCCATTCTGTGCCTGAGAACACCAAAGACACGAGTAGGAACCCCTGTGGTAGCCTTTTCTTCCCATTAATAATTTGTGAGCTCCCTTTCTCCTACTCCTGCCTCTGGCCTCAAAGGAAGAGTCTCTCCACTTTGTGGAAGGCTACTTCCATTCCTCGGGGACTTGATCCCATTGGTTTTTGCATCTTTAATTAATAGTATAGAGGTTAAGATTTTGTGAAAATTATAATCTTGACTGGCATTTAGTAACTGGGTAACCTTAGGCCATGTTGCCACCTTTCAGAGCTTTAATGTTATTATCTGTAAAACAGGGTTATAGTAGTATTTGACTCATAAGGCTGTTGAGGGTATTAAATAGTAAAGTGTTTAATATAATTTCTGTCAGGTATAAAGCACCCAATAAAACATATTCCTTCCATCCCCATATGTTCCAAGGATGACCTTATTTCCTATTTTACTAAGAAAACAGAAACCTTCAGAGGAAACTTCAGCTACCTGATCCACAAGAGTATTTATTCCCAGGCCCATCCTGCCCAACTCTGATCTTCCTGCAAGTGTTCTCTCTAATCCTATCAAAGGAATTCCTCCTCTTAAGTCTGCTTCTGTGCACATGGG